GCATTCCCTGCTCCCAGAATTCAGAAGAATGAAATCCAGAGCTGCCTCCTTCCTTCCAGGGGGCTCCTGGTGCCACTTGGCCCAGAGGGGTGTTGGAAAGGAGAAGGACAAGGAGAAGGACAGGGGAAGGACAAGAAGGTGGAAAAGGAGAAGGACAAGGAGAAGGACAGGGGAAGGACAAGGAGAAGGGCAAGAAGGTGGAAAAGGAGATGGATACGGAGAAGGAGAAGGAGAAGGAGAAGGAGATGGAGAAGAAGGAGAAGGAGATGGACAAGGGGAAGGACATGGAGAAGGACAAAGACAAGGAGAAGGACAAGGACCAGGACAAGGAGAAGGACAAGGACCAGGACAAGGAGAAGGACAGGGACAAGGAGAAGGACAAGGGCATGGACATGGAGAAGGACAAGGAGAAGGACAAGGACCAGGAGAAGGACAAGGAGGAGGACAAGGACCAGGAGAAGGACAAGGACAGGGACAAGGACAAGGACCAGGACAAGGACAAGGAGAAGGTCAAGGACAAGGACAAGGACAGGAAGGGGCAGTTTGGGCTTTGCCAGGAGGATCCAGAGCTGTTTTGGTGGGAAGCGCATGCCCAGAGCGCTGCTGGGGGAGCTGAGGTAACTCTGCATCCCTTGCCAGATGTTTCCCATCAATTTTCCTGTGCCTGCTTCCAAGAACTCTGTGCTGTGAGCTCACCGTGAGGAGGAGCGAGGGCGGCTTCGTCCCGGCCGTGCCGATCCCACCCCGGAGCAGCGAGCGCGTCCCTGCCCTGGGGATGCTCCAAAAACCTCCCTGAGGACATCCTGGGCTTCTCTTCCCTGCACACTCAGGGGTGTGACCCCCACAGCCTGGCTGGGCATCCCCAGGTGCTGCTGCACCTGCAGAATCCACACGCATCTCTGCTGGCCACAGCTCTTTTATCTGAGAACTGCAACAGCTTGGCTTCAAAAAGATTTATTGCTTTCCCTAGTCCTGCCCCGTTTTCCACAGTGATTTCTGGGTTTGCTGCAGGAATTGCTGAAGGAAAAGATGCCAAAAGCCTCACTTCAAGTTGTTACTCTAATTTTGACACTCCAGTACTCTTCTGAGGGTGTTGCTGTTCTGGGGGATGTGCACCATGGATTGCTGCTCCCAGAAATCCCAAATATCCAGGACCCATTTCCCTGAGCTGGGTGGGGATCCCAGCAAATCCTCCAAAGAGTGCGGGGGGCAAGGAAAACAGGGAATTCTCCAGGGAGTTAGAAGTTAACCCCGAGTTACTGCAGATTTGTCAGAAGCCAGGTGGATTTTTAAAGCCCTTTTCATGCATGTCCCCCCTGTTACACCCCCAGTTTGTTTTAAGCAGGTGCACAGGCAGCAGGAGCTTGGCACAGAGGGATGGGAGGGATTTCAACCTGCCCAGCCTGGCCTTGGGCACTCCCAGGGATGCAGGGACAGCCACAGCTTGTCCCCACCCTCCCAGGGATTCCTTCCCATATCCCATCTAATCCTTGCACCTCGTCCTGCATCAGTTTGGTGTCAGATCTGTTGGATTCGTGGCCAAAATAATAATTTTTCCCACTTTGGAGGGAAAACTTTTGTTTGTATTTTTGTTTTTTGTTACTGTTGTCGTTACAAGCCAGCTTTTAGACGCCCTAGCAATAAGGTTCTGAAGCACTGAACGTGTAAAAGAACATTTTGCTGGTGTGAGTGAGGAGATGAGGGGGGTGGAAGGGCTGAGGGATGATCTGTGCTCATCCCTTCGTGCTGGGAAGGGCTCTTGGCTGCAGCTCCTGCCCCAGAGGAGTGGGTGTAGGATGGGCTGGTGTGAGCTGCAGTGCGCAGAGCTTCCTGCTCTCCGCTCTTTATTTGTCTTTGCTCTGTACACAGCCCCTGCCTGGACACTCCTGCCCAGCTTTTCCCTTCCAAGCAGGATTTCTGAAGGTGGGGAGGGGGTGTTGGAGGCATCCAGGAGTTAAAAGCTGCCTGGATCAAAGCACTGGGAGTTTTCCATCGACAATACAGGGGAATTAATCACAAAAATAGCTGTTATTAAAAACAAACTGCCAGGGGATTTTTGGGTATCTGATCAGGGAAGTCAGGAGATAAAATATCAGTGAAATCTTAGCTTGGTTTAGGCTGAGAGGGTTTATTGCTGTTTTCTTCTCTCTGAGCAGGATTTCAGATCTCTACTCGGACTTTTCAGAAATTTCCAGCCTTGGCTGTGCTTCCTACGTTGTGTAAGGGCAGGGGTGACCCCAGGGAGCAATTCCTGTGTCTGGGAGAGCTGTGTCCCTGCCCTGCAGTCCCACAGGGACAATTCCCAGTGACATCCAAGGAAACACGAGCTCAAACCCCAGGGATTACAGTGGATGTAAATCTGAGCCACTGGAACACCTAAGAGCTGCCTAAATCACCTTTTTTTGCATCTGGCATTTCTTTCTGCTGCAGGTGGCTCAGCAGTGAGCAAGGAGAGCCGTGTTTCAAATTAATTCCTGTTAATTGAGGTTGCTCCCATTGCTCTGTCCCCTCTCCTCACCTTTTGTCATCCTGGATGGCAATTTAATTGGGTCAGGAACGCTATTTTTGGTTTAGCTGGGGACACGACGAGCTCAGGCAGCAGCAGCACCGATAATGAGAAGCCAAATTAATTCCTGATGAATTTGGATCAGCTGAGGTCTGGCTCTTACCCACAGGAGGGATGTGACCAGCACAGCCTGGCTGGACATGTCCAGTGCAGAATCCACGGACATCTCTGCTGGCCGGAGCTCATTCATCTTAAAACTGCAACAACTTGACTTTAAAAAGCTTTTATTACTTTCCCTAATCCTGCCCTGTTGTCCACAGCGATTTTTAAGCACAGATTTGTGGGTTTGCTGCAGGAATTCTGAAGGAGAGGGTGCCAAAAGCCTCACTTCCAAGTTGTTATTCTAAGTTTTGTCCAAAAATTCGTTGTTTACTTCGCTGCAGATATGTACACATGGCACCAGCAGCTGGATGGGAGGATTTGGGGATGGATTCTGCTTTCACTGAGTGGTGAAATTCCAAAATTATCCCTGTTCCTGTGTTCTCACTAAGGCTCTGAGCCCAGGGTTGTAGGGTTGTTTATATACAGAATTTTGGGGTTAATATATGGTGAGCCAACAAGATGTTTTGTTCTCAGTTTAAAGTGGGTTTGTCAGCGTTTTCCTGGTATTTTACTGAAAAACAGAACAAAACAAGAGGCACAAAAAAAATCTCTGTGTCTTCTCTTTGACCCAAATGCCTGGATTGGCTTTTTGGGCTGCCAGCAAGGGGTCAGAGAGTTGACAGGAATTAGCTCAGGGAGCAGCTGGGACACAGAATTCCACGTACAACGTGTAGGAAGTAACTCCACAAAACCAGGAATATTCCCTTTAATAGAGGAGAGATGAAATGATGGGGATCAGGGTGGGTGAGGGATGAGAGTGTTTATTGCTGTTTCCTTGAGGAGGGAATTTCAGGGAGTGGGGGCTGGTGTTGGGAATCCTCCAGAGCAGTGGGGTTTTTGGGATTTGTTTGGGATTGTGGCTGTACCCCAGAATTACGTGGATAAGTGGTGCTGCAGCACAGAGGGTCTGACACCC